AGCAAAGCAACAACGCACTTTTCCGATTGACCGTTAAAAATACAATATTTTTTAATCAGTTTCTTATTATTAGTTTGATTTTTAGTTTAAAAACTAATAGATACTATATTAATTATTTAACAAATAAAAAAATTCAACAAAGTACGTGTTATGAATACTCAACAGCACCATTACATGCTATTTACATTTGGGTGGAAAACTGATTTGTAACTCAATTTTATCTGGTTTTAAAAGTTGATATTTTTAGTAAAAAATATTAACATAAACTGCGATGATAATTGTACTGATTTTAGTAAAACATGATAAGGTCTATAAGTGGTGTTAACAAGTCTGTTCAATGATTTCGAAATATAAAACAGAACAACAAAATTATAAACAGACGCAGTGAATCAACGACAAATTATTTAAATGTTGAACTTGCTTGTATTTTTTTTATTTTTGTATTTCTCAGAACTTGGTTAGTTATTAGATCATTTTGTTAATTTAATAATATAGTTTGTTTTACTATATTTAAAATATAAAAAAATAAGTAGTCAATTCCCGAAAAATTAAATGAATATTCGAAAACACTTTTAACAGGAAGTGTTTTTTTAAGTGTTAAGGAAATATCGTAAAATATACTATTCTTAAACAATAAATTTATATATTAAATATATTAATATATTATTTAAATTTTTAAAATCGTTTAGAAAATAAAAAAAAACAATTCACACTGAATGATATTAATTGTGTTTGTTTTAAAACAATTCAATACAACTATTGTTCTTTACCAAAATTATATAAAAACACAATTTAATAATTATTGTAATACAATTTAAAATAAAGAAAATCCGTTTTATAACAAAGACCCATTAAATATATGCACGAGTATACGTGAGATTTTTAAAATAATAACAATAAATATACAATTTGTACGTTAAATATTAACTTTGTTCAAAAACAAAAATTGTATTTTTGACAATTAAAATTTTTAACCAATTTCATCAATTACTCATGAAAATGGTTGTTTAGAATTAAAAATGATCAATTTTAAACTTTTCGAAAACTGTTGTGTTAACTTGTTTTGTATAAAATAACTAAATTATATAAAGTTGACATTTCTCACAATACTTAAAATATTTAGAATAATGAACTTTTGATTGATAGTTTTGTTGTTAGAAATGAGTTGCAAACTGGTGGGACATAGATCAGTCTTCGAACAATGGTTCGAAGAATGATAAATAAAAGTTTTTACCATCATGCCAACCGTATGAATATGATATTGAATTACTATTTACCATAAAGAACTCAACAAAAATTTAAAGACCATGAAAATTAATTATTAACCCTTCCGGTACCAAAAATTTCTAAAAAATGAAAACTTATTTATATCTTATTCATTTTGAGTGTATATTAGAAAGAAATCATGCAAAAAACGCTTTAAACTTTTTACAATCATAAAATACCAGGAAACAAAATTAATAATAAAAAATAATTTAATTTACTATAAATTAATAGTAAATTTTAACCTAAAATCGTATTTTTGTTGAAAAAATGTTTATTTTTCCTGTGAGGAAAACTTGACGACTTTTCCTGTAATTATTTTCAAGTTTTTTTTCTTTTTATATTAAAAAATTGTATATAGTATAATAAACTATACACAATAAGTCTTTCTAAAAACAGGGTTTTAAAATAAGAAAACGTATCAAAAAAAATCTGATAAAAATTCTTTTATTGAAAAACAATGGATACGTCATACTTTGATAATTCCAAAAGTAATTATTTTAATTTAGTTTACATTGTAAATGTTTTGATGTTTTGTAACTATTGTGTAAAAAAGTTGACATTTTATTGAATTTTAAAATATGTAACAAACAATCAAATATTATGATATAACTTGTGCAACCACACTGATGGTTAGCGTTCTCACTTTATAACCTTTTGTTGAGAATCATATGTATACGAGATATATTTACATATTTTTATTTTTTAACTATTGTTTTAAAAAAATTGTTTTCATTATATAAAATAAACCAAATGTATCTAAACAACATCGCGATCTTTTTAACGTTTTTTAAAGAACCTTTATATACATTACTTTACATTATAATAAAATATATTTTATAACTCATATGTATGACACAACTGTGTTAGACTTTTAATTTATATTACATACAAAAAATAAAACGTGCAAACTTTTTATATATTATAAATGTTACATCAAACCAGAACTGAAAACTATAATATTAAAACTAAATAATGTTATATTTAGAATAAATTTTAGTTTACATATTTAAGTTTATATTTATATATATATGCTTGTTATAACAATTATATTTCTGGTATTGGAAGGGTTAACATAAATCCAAAACCAATAAAATAATAATATTTAGTTTAATTATTTTTTCATTTTAAAACTTTATTTATAATTAAAAATGAAAAGATTGAAGT